AAGGGATTTGACCAGGGATTACATGACCAACTGGGCAGCATTTGCACGGGGGGGGGGGGATGTCTTTCCATAAAGTCAGAGAGCAAGGGCCTTCTCCAGACTCTCCGTGCCAGGCATGGAGCAGCAACAAAGGAGCACTGCAAGCCTTGGCCTTCACTTCTGTGCTGAAGCCTAGCAGGGCCATCTCCCCTGCACTGCATCCTTTGGCCCAGTAAAGCAGAGCCCTGCAAACTGCCCTAGGGCCCTGTTTCAGTAGGTCTAGAGTGGCTACTGCCCAGATTCACAGAAAACATTCTCTTCCCGGAGTAACACAGTGGATGGAGGGATGGAGGGATGGAGGTTAGGGAAAGAGGGCAAAGGATGCAAGGACGTAAGTTTTGCTCCTGGGAGGTTCAGTGAGGAAGGAGTGAAATCTCACTGCGTTTGATTTGGAGCCGTAACAGGCTTGCCACTGTGTGGGTTACACACGGATGTGGTATTTGTGAAGGGAGGAGGAAGGAGGAGAGAGGAGGGTGGCGTCTTTAGGAATGGTGCTGAGAAGCCCAGAGCAGGTGCCCCATCCCTGCGTGCAGGGCCCAGCCTGTCGCTGGCAGAGGTCCACCGCACGGGCAGCCCAACAGCCTCCTGCCTCCATTCACAGGACTTGGCCCACACAACCCCGTCTGGCCTGTCAGGCCGATGCCTTTGTTCCCCACAATGTGGGGGTGGGAGAGGCTGCCTCTCCCGCTGCTGAGGCTGCCCGACAGTGGCTTCAGGGTGAAGGTGAGGTTCAGCGTGAGGGACAAGGGCCAGCCATCAGAGGACATGTTCCTGCCCCTGTGTGGCAAGCCCAGGAGCGGGACACGCAAAAGATGGCATGCATTTTCCATCAGAGCTAGGTCATGTTGGTGGTGGCACACTGGAGCTCGGCTTAGGGAGCCAGATGCAAGGCTGGCGACAGCAGATGCACCAACCAGAGATGGCCCATTGCTGCTGGCAAACGGGAGCCCACTCACCTCCCACCACGTGCCCACACCCAGCCCCCAGCCCACCGGGCGCCCTCTGCACATGCGCGCTCCCACTAGCAAGCAGCCCTCCTGCTAGCAGTGCTGGCTGCCCCCCACCCCCCACCCTAGAGGGAACCGATTTCAAGCGGAAAGCCTGCCAAAGCAGGCGGCTTCTAGTGCCAAAAATACCTTCTGTGCTCCAAGGGGCTACCGTGCTGGCATCTCTTTGCCGACCGAAGCTGCTGCGTGAGACAGAGGATTCCCCTGGGGGTGGCCAGTTGCTCCACAGCACGAGGGCCGGCTTCACAGGACCTGAGAAGGCCGCTCCCGCCCTCAACAAAGGTGGAGCCGCCTTTTGCAGAAATCCTGTTCTTACTGGAAAAATGCAGCTCTGTTTCAAGGTGCTGTTCCGTTGTTCTCGTCTACTTCTCTGATCCTCTTCCCTGAGTCACCCATTTAGTGACCAGCGATGCAGGAGCCCGGGGCCAGGGGCAACTGTCCAGCAGCCACAAAAGACAGTGAAGGCTGAGGTTCCAGGGGAACCATGAGGGGCAGGAGGGTAGGCTAGGGTGAGGGAGGAACTTGGGGCAATTTTCCAAAAAACGAGGGCTTGCCAAACACATAACCCTGTTCATTGGTTCACTCACTGGGAAGATATTATAAAATGCCTGCTACTTGTCCAGAACTGTGCTGGGCTGTGCTCGTCCTTCCTGCTGGAAGTGGGGATGAACTGCAATGTGCTGGTAGGGGACTGGCCAGTGCCCAGGGGCTCCGGGTTTGACCTCAGCTGGACAGGTTGAAAAAGAATACCAGCAGGCCGGCTAGACATGAGAAAACTCAGTCCTCAGAAGAACAGCCTGGGCACGTGGAGTCTGTCAGCAAGTAGTATACTTTAAAAAGAAAAGGTGCTGAGCGCTGGAATAGCACGCAGCCAGTTACAAAGAGTAAGATCTTGTCACTTTCAACAATGTGGAGCGGCCCGAGGACCTCAAGGTAAGTGACATAAACCAGGCACAGAAAGACAAAAGCTGCCAGTTGTCTCTCATATTCAGAAACTTAAAAAGCTGATTTCATAGAGGTAAAGAGTAGTAGAGTTGTTACCAGACTCTGGAGAACAGAAGAGGAGGGGGAAGAGCAGTTGGTGATAGACAGGAAGTACAGTTAGATAGGAGATGAAGTCCTAGTGCCCTATAGTGGAGTAGGGTGACTATGGTTAACTTAATGTGCATTTCCTAGTAGCTGGAAGAGAGGGCTCTGAATGTTCTCAGCACAAATAATAAATGTCTGGGGTGACAATATGCTAATTACCCTGGTCTGATCATCACACATTTTATATAGCAAAATAATCACACTGCTCCCTATAGATGTGTGCAATTATTATGCATTAAATTTTTAACGGTCTCAACAGGTAACTATGTACTACATACAATTCTACTAACAAATTATAGGATATTTGCTCTTAACAGACATTTGTAGGTGAATGAATTAATATCAGTGTTCAAGAGAGTAGGTTTATATGAACACCTTTAGAGGATAGAGACTCAAACGTATTGCCAGAGCTTCAGAGGATGTTATATCTAAGTACATGAATCTGAGTTTTGTTTTTAATTCCCAAAGTATATTATAGTTATATACTCAACTAACAAGCTCAATACTCATTCTAGCCTATTAAGACTGAAAGCAACTACACTCTTCCTGCTTTAATGACATTATTTATTCTGCAAAAACTCTGGCATAAAGGTGTGTAAATTCTCTCAGCTCTCTGGACATGGAAGGTAGAAATCTCCATCTTAAAGACAGACAAACTGAGACCTAGGGAAGTTAAGGGTACTCTATCCAGGGCACCTCAAAGTAGCTCACGTTAGAGTTCTCCCTCCTCTCCAGTGGGTCCCAGATGCTTCCACGGTCCCAGGGGACCCCGCTGTCCCACACTGTCCACTGTCGGCATGGAGACCGGGAGGGGCTGTGTCACCCTGGCCACAACCTGTGCTTCCTTCCTTCTTCTCTCTCCCTTTTTCTCCCTTTACTTGGGAAGGGAGGAGAAGCACGGAGTGAACAAAGAGGCCAGTGGAGGGATCTGTTTTATTCTATGTTTCCTCGATCTTCATTCTTGGATGTACTTCTGGATCACTCAGGTGGACAGATAATATCTGAAAATTACTTAAACTGTAGTATAATCTCAGGATGGGATCAAACTGAGACAGGGGAAGAGCTGTGATCTCTGTTGGGGCCATACAGCACTTGACTTAGAAGCAGAGGGTCCTTATTTTTGCCATAAGCTTTAGCAGCTGGACATCTGCCGCCTGACCACCACGCTGTTAGGTGTAGCTGGCCAGACCACGATGCACTAAGCAAACAGGAAAATGTCCCACGCACCTCCAAATCAGCTTCCTTAATGAACTGCGGCTCAGATTTGATTCACTCAGATATAAGAAGATGGCAAGACTGTCTGGATAAGGTGGTAAGAACCACTTACATCAACACATAACTAACAGTACAGGACAAACATGACTGCCTGAGGGGTAGGGAAGGATAAATTCTGAAGAGGATCAAAGCAAGAAACTGGGATGGATTCAAGAAGATGGATTAGGCTCTGTGGACCCACAAGACAAAGTCAGGAATAACCGGTGAGTTACAGGACTCCAATGTAAGCAAATTAATTGCATGAAGAACTTTTGCAGACTTGGCTAACCTGTTCACAGTTTCTAAGGAATTAGCCAATTGGAGTAAACCCTAGGTCCCCCCAAACTGCACTGGCTGGAGTGCATTTGAGATGACTGATAAGAGCACACTTCCTCGCTCCTCTCCCTGCCTCTGCCTCTGCCTCTGCCTCTGCTTGTGACTCTGTCTCTGTCTCTCTGTCTCTCTCTGTCTCTCTCTGTCTCTCTCTGTCTCTCTCTCTGTCTCTCTCTCTGTCTCTCTCTCTGTCTCTCTCTCTGTCTCTGTCTCTGTCTCTCTCTCTCTCTCTCTCTCTCTCTCTCTCTCTCTCTCCTCTTAAGGCCCTTACTGCCTTACTGCTTGTGAATTCACGCAACTGCGTTCAGGTTTGAGAATGAATTTTCTTCTATTTAGGCCGCTTAGGACTCTGGCCACGAGGGGGCAGTAGAGCAAGCTCATCCGACTGTTATACATGGTGAGTAAACTCGCGTGTGCGAGCAGGGTCTACGCAGATCCTGCGAACTCGCTGGGTCTTGCTCGCAGGCCCCTTATCGGAAAGCCAAATCCAGAGGCTGAGGAGATGCTGACGCGATGTGGCGCGGAATCCGGGCCCACAGGGTGCCGAGGAGTCACTGTCACCAAAACCCAAAGACAGCTCTCCTTAGGTTATTAAACGAAGTTGCCCTCACTCCTCGCCGCCACCTGATTCCCCTGCGAAGCGGGCTCCCCGGGTCTGGATGAAGATCGCGCCCCGCTGGTCCCCCATCCGCCCAAGTCAGGACTTGCCTGACGCCCCGGGTGCCTAAAGCGCTGGAAACTTGAGATCCAGACCAAGGCTCATCTTCGCAGTGCCATAATAATAATTAACAACAACTTCCAGTCTCGTTTGACAGCTCTGAGATTCTCCAGGAGAGGATATGCTCCTGCAGATTCCCAGACCCCTCCTCCGCCCCATCGCATGAGGCCGCTGCTCCGTTGCCCCTCACTCAGATTCCCGGACTCGCGGTGACAGGTGACGGGGGAGGGGGGGCCCCGCCTCCAGGCCCTGCTCGCTCGGCCCGGGCCCCGAGCGCCCCCTGCCTGCGCCCCTCCTCCGGGGCTGAGCCGGCTGGCGGCGAGGCCTGACCTGAGTCCCCCTGCCCGGCACATCTGCGTGGCCCCTGAGCCACTTAAGGCGGTCTGCGGGTGCAGGCGGCGCGGAGCGCTAGGCGGCGGGGCGACCTGGGTCCTCCTTTGTGGGCCGCGGGTGGGAGGAAGCGGGCGGGGCGCGGGCTGGGGGCGGCGCGGCCGGCGCGGAGCGGGTTAAGAGCGGCCTCTATGATAATGAGCTGCACGGTAATATAGGAGCCGGCGCAGGGCTCGCCGCCGCCGCCGCCGGGAGAGCGCGCTCCGGGTGCAGAGCCGCGCAGGGCTGGAGCGGGAGGGCGGAGGGCGCCGCTGCTGGACCTCCCCTCCCGAGACCCGCGAGCCCGGCGGCCCTGGGCGCGGCGAGGCGCCGCTCGGATCTGGAGAGCCAGGTTCCCGGAGGAAGTGGGACCGTGAGCCAGCGGGAGCCGCGAGAAGGGAAGGAAGCGCCGCGGTCGCTGATGTCAGAGGAGCCCGGAAAGTCGCGCTGGAAAAATCCGAAGACAGCAGCCAGGGGCTGCGCTGCTCGCCCCGCACAGGCGCCGCGGGCCACCCCCACGCGCCCCCTCGGCTCCCCGGGAG